GAGACCCCTGGTTTAAACCAATAGTTTATCACATAAATGCATTAAAATAAGCAAATTTAAATCAACCAAAATTGCTGCTGCTGATGATGATGATGTCAGTTAAAATCAACCACTAAAATCAATTATTAAATAGCTGGAAAAGAGGAATGTCTTTGCGAGGCACCGAAATGATAGCAGCAATGGTGCCAGGCACACCTTTCTGGGGAGCCTATTCCAAAGGTGGGGTGCAACCAGGGAGAAGGCCCTTCTTCTAGCCAACATCCCCCTTACCTCTCTAGGGGATGGTTCCTTGAGAAGAACCTCCTCACTCAATCTTAAAGGACAGGTAGGGACATAGGGAGAAGGCAATCCTTCAGGCATCCAGGACCCAAGCAGTTTAGGGTTTTATATGTAAGTACAAGCACTTAAAATTGGGCCCAGACTTCCACTAGTAGCCAGTATAGATGGTATAGAACTGGTTTAACATGGGCCTGTACATACTATATGCATATTTGCATATTACACTGTGATAATGCAAACAGCTTTAATGCCATATCTTTGTGGAAGAATAAATCTCTATTCTCAGATAGTAAATTCATGGTAATGATTCTATAGCTCATTTAAAATGAAACAGCATAGTGTCAAAAGCTAGCTGATGGTGACCCTGTAGGCATATGTCATTGATCAACTAATTACTATGATTGTAAAGGACGGCAACCCCTGGAAACAGCAAGCGGCTGACTGTCAGGACAGATACACTGCATATTTAAACAGCTGAAGTCTGCTGAATGAGAAATTGCCATTTGGCATGGTTCTTTGTGCCTCTTTTGGGGAAGGTAGCATTTATTGCATAGTACTATCATGGGAAAGAAAAAAGCACATTTTCATAGACTGATATGCAAAATGTACTGTCTTTGGGCAACTCTGCATTGACTCTGTGGTTATGAAAAGCCCAAGTGATTATTTAAAAGAAAGGTAAGGCAGGAATGGGGAAGAGTGAAAACATGCTCAATTTCTGATTTTGAGAGATACCCCCAAGCTGAATTCCAGTTGCTTTGCAATCAAATTACCCCTTCAGACAAAAATAACACAGAATTGATCATCCAGCTCAAATGAAAGCATCTATTTCATTCACAAAGGGCCTGCAAATGGCAGAGAAAAAAGCCAAGTATCTGTAATTCTCCTCGGAGATAAGTACACCTCAGCCCATAGATTTCAGTGTATTTAGACAAGTCTAAGTTTGCAAAGGATTGGTCAGAATAAATCTGAACACCTTAAAAGAAACTGCAGGTTGCTAGGATATACTGAATTTGTGGTTGCAAATTTAAGTCTAGGCACCAGACTGTTCATTCACAAATCCAGAATCTGTCTAAGAGCTAGAGATCTTTTTGTTCCCCACAAGGATGTGCATTTACAGGACTTGCTCCCATATATGACTTTCAACCTAAAATAATATTGAGAAATGGTTGATCACAGAATATTCTTGAAGTGTATAACAAATCATTCAGTATTGTGAGCCAATAGGGCATAAATCATTCTTATAGAATTCAATCTTATAGAATGAATCATTCTTATAGAAAGATTTTCTTTTATTTTCAATGTAGTGAAATTAGAAGCATTCCCATGGGGGGAGAAAGTTTTTTTTACAGGAAAATTGGTTCTACTTTAACCCTCTTTTAAGCTACAAAAACAAAAATAGGGAGTGCATATGAGAAATAGAATTGTTTAATTGCCTAAATTCTCCCCCATCAAAATTCTTTCAAGAAAGATTTTCTCCTTGGTCAAATATGCTATATGCTAAAAGCTAATACAAAGAGGTTTTTCAAAGCCAATAATAATACATTTTGGAAAATGAGTTCCAATGTGCTAATAAACCTCTAAGTACAGAAGTGGCAGCAGGTGTCTCTAATAACATATGATGTAAAGATCCATTTGAATATCAAAGAACATATTGAAATACTTTCAAAATTGCAGCCATTCAGTTGGCATAAATTGGGGAGGGGGAGAGAAATTTAATAACTCCCCTACCTCAATGCTTTCTTACTTTCTCTACAAGTAAAAACACTCACAAATTACTTGAAATGAATGGGCCTTATTGGGAGACAAGAGTCAAAAAAGGAACATTAGTACACCGTTATGGAACACTTGCTTCATTGTTTGTGCTTTGAAACAATTTCTTTAGAAATGACATCATCAGCCTTAAGTAAATAACTGTACTTATAAGTCTTTTTATCTTATGCGTAAGACATGAAAGAGCAAAGCAGGAGCATTCATGATGCAACCAGCTGCTTTTAACAGCCCCTGATCACTTGTGCAGGTCAACAGACCTTCTGGCCTCTCCTGCTCTTGTTCTGCTCCACCCAATGCTAATGCAAGGAAGAAACATAATGGGTGATGACTTATGCATAACTCAAAAGATATGCTAATTTATAAACACAGATGCAAATTTATAAATTATAATTTAAACAGAAGTATAAATAGGCAAAGGTGACCATGTGACCTGTGAACTCAGCCTGCTGTCCAGGTGCTGATGACGGAAATTTCAGCACTCCTGGCCTGTCTTCCAAGTTTCTTTAGTTTAGACTCAAACAGGACCCTCTTCCAAGCAGAGCATTGCCCTTTGTAAAGTAGAGCAAATGTCCACCCTAGAGATAGTCAAGGATCATCCCTGCAGTTTATTTACCACAGATGATTCAAGGATTTTTTTCTGTTGGGACAATAGTCAGTGGACGATCGTATTGAGAGTGTGGTAACTCATGCAAATAATCTCAGCAAACTTGGATATTTCTCAATTTTGCTATATTAAATATTTTTGGCATCTTGTCACACATTCTGACACAGCAATGCTGTTTACCACTAGATGGTGAAAAGTTATTATGAGACACTGTTCATTTCTTCCCATTACAAGTTTTCCTGCTAGCGCTTTGACAAATGAGCGTGTTTGAAGAGCACATTTAGCTCTAAAGCGAAACATGAAGGCACAACTCTCTACTTTGAAATCGCAGGGTCCCAAATGCAACATAGAAAAGGAACAACATTCATTTATTCATTAGTGGATACTTCCATACTCTACTGAAATACCTTGCATTAATACACACAGAGAGCAACACAGCTTTGAAAAGCTCATCATTTTCTTACAGCAAAAATAAAAGCTATGAACAGAACAGTTACCTTAGGGGTCACCTCATCCCTGCCTAGTCTTTGTGAACTTTTGAAGATGTGATAGAAACCACCCTCTAGAAAGTGCTCTCCAATAACATTAGATAAGCATCCACAGTTTGGGTCTTTAGATGCCTGTTTAAGACCTTTCTAAAGTATGATCTGACTAGTACAGTTATACTTTTATTGAGGAAGACTGGTTAATTTATTGTATTTTGTTGTCATATAGCCATTATGTTCTTTGATAATTGCACTGGAAATGATATACCAATTGTGTAATAAAGTAAATAAACAACTGCAATAGTTTAAGAATACCATAATGACTTCAATTAACACAATAAGTTTTCTTGGGCAATAAGAGGTTTACCCTTGGAGAAGAGCCTAATGCTGGGAACAATAGATGGCAAAAGAAGAAGGGGATGACAGAGAATGAGGTGGCTAGATGGAGTCACTGAAGCAGTTGGTGTGAGCTTAAGTGGACTCCAGGGGATGGTGGAGGACAGGAAGGCCTGGAGGAATGTTGTCCATGGGGTCGCGATGGGTCGGACACGACTTCACAACTAACTACAACAACATAAAAGCATAACCCAGCACTCTTTTAAAATGCAATATAAATAGAGATGAAGCCAAACTCTGTTTAACAAATAAAACATGATCATATTAAACTTGAAAAGTGAAAGTGGATTAGTGTAATTATTTTATCTTATTTAAAATTATTTTAGGCCACTGTTAAGTGTTGAACCCTCTAAGTTAAAGGATTGATGAGCGAAGTTTCAAAAAACAGAATCCAGTTGTTCAAAACCATGCTATAGGTTAGATGACAATATACAGGAACTATATTGCCCTCATTTATACATACTATCCCCTCTCATATAGAAGCTCATCTTAGAGGAAACAATGGCCCAAGCACAAAATCCTAGTAGGCCTCATGCAAGTGACTTGCTATTCTTACATCTGTTCTGACTACTGCAGATCAGGGATGTGAACAGTCATGAAGGCACATTCTAGATATTCAAAAAGGTGCATCTTTCCATCTTCAAGGCCCTGCTCTCCCGTTATGAGTATGCATGCATGTGTGCATGTATTCCACTTAATGCCATGGATAAGCTTTGTTCAAACTGAGCTCCCTGTAAGAGCCTAGGCCCAATTTCTTGCATCTTCACTTTGAGAGAATCTCAGGTAATAGGGCTCAGAAGAATCTAAGCTTGAGATTCTGGAGAAGTGTTTCCAGTGCAGCAGGTAGAGTAAACAATTCGGGTGAGGGGAGAGAAATGGCCCAATGGCCTGATAGTCTAAGGCAGTTCATTTACTTCATATGGTTCTATCTAAGGGACACGAGAGGTGGGCTTAATTTCAATCCTGCTCAGTATCTAGGCATCATTTCTGTGCAGATGGGAAGGTAAGGTTGTACTATTATAATAAAACTACACTGAAGCTTCCTGTGGTCAGAAAGTCAAAGCTTGCAGCATGTTCAAAATCCAACACAATGGTATAACTGAATAATGCAAAGTGCACTATACAGCAGCTCTGCTTGCGCATAGGAATGTTTAAACTCTACCTTTAGACAACATTTGCCTATGTGTCCAAAAGCCCCTGTAAAGGTCAGGGGGGCCTAAGGAGCAGCACTCCACGCTTGGAATACTGTCCAAGAGAGTGTTTGCAACCCACCCGTGTTTTGCAGTCATGCTTTATCCTTTATCAAGGATCCCACCCGTTATGTATACACTCCAAATTAAAAAGCAGCAAATGGTTTTAATGATCTGGTTTTGCCTCCAAACAGTGTCCAGCAGGAAGTGGGAATGCCAGATCTTCAGCCGAGATAAATCCATGCTAATGTTACCAGGAGAGATATTCACAGTAAATTTGGCTCTGTCAGGTGCTAAACAAAATGGGTTGTATGTGATTTGGAACTCGTCAATAATACAAGCCAAGGTAAGCAATGCAGCAGGCTGGACTATCTTCTGTATGAAACAAAATAGTGGTAAATGGGGTAGTTTCCTGCTAGTGCAGAGCCGTTTGTTTCACTCTGATGGTAAGTGACTATAACAGGACGACAGGGATGATTTCTAGAGAGAGAGAGAGAGAGAGAGAGAGAGAGAGAGAGAGAGAGAGAGAATATAAGATGCTGTACATTACCACTGAAAACACAGAACACTTTGCAAATACTAGAAAGGCCAGACTGCCTTGGACTCCCTTAGGAGCCATAGCCAACTTAGCCTACATAATTTAGGTTTGCTCCTGCTTAATACATGAGCCATCAAAAGGAACCCAATTATGAGCTCACTTTACAATCACAGAAATGTAGAAGGTCAAGTAGGCCTCACATTCAAATATGAATGGGCAAGCCTGGTTCCTAGCACTCTTGATAATGCCCAGTTGACATTCACAATGCCACAACACACTGTTATGTGTGCTAAACTGCAGCTATACATTTTGGACAGGGCTTGTTCTGACATCTGCTATGTAAAGCAGATGTAAAGAACTGATATTATTACTTTACTGTTTTTGTCAGTTCAGAGTTAGGGGAGGGGGAAATTAACAGTATCATATCAGAAACATATAACTTAATCTTCTACATAAAATACCTATTGAACACCAATGGGTTGTGAATGACTTCTTACCTAAGGGTGCAATGGGTAAGAAGCAACTGTGGTACTTTTATCTTTTAGCTTCAGGGTATACAGATTTTTAAAAAACAGAAAGAACACTTGCCATCAGCTCTATTGCATCTTAGAGCAGTGAAGCAGGAGGGAGCAGAAGTGAAGCAGTGAGGGAGCAGGAAAAACCCTCCCTTATACATAGAGCAGGATATAAGCTAATGCCCACTGCCAGAAATGTAAATTAGTCATATCAGAACCTTACTCTGCATAGTTATTACACTGCATTCCTCTTTGACCACTCAGAGGGCTGTATTTCATTTTCTATTAAGATTTATCAATCCCCAATTGTTTGTGAAAGGGGGAAAGGTGACACTAATGGCTTTCTACTTCTCTTGGATATTATATCCTATGTGAACTATGTCATTAAAATGTCTACGCACACTGTATTGTTTGATTCTGTTGTGGCAACTACAGTATTTTCCATATAGAGAGTCCTAAAAGGAATATGTGAATCCTGTGTAATTTCTGCCACAATGCAGTCATTAAAAAACTAAATAATTGCACATACACAGAATTTTCAGAACTTTGAATTTTTGTCAATAAAATAACTTGCTAAACTTATGGAGATAATTATTGGATTGGGTACCTGGGAAATCTGGGTTTTAGTTTCCATTTGGCCATGAAGCTCACTGGGTGACTTTGGGGCAGTCACTCACTCTCAGCCTAACCTACATCACACTTGTTCTGAGGATAAAATGGAGCTATGGAAGTGGTCTTGGGATCTCACAAAGGGAAAAAAGTGGCATATAAGTGAAGTGTAATAATAAAATGTGTGGGATATCCAAACACAAATTCATTGATCACACTTGCAGTATGAACATAGCAGTGTGTATTTCTGCTGTGAGACTAGGAACCATTGGATAGGGTAGCATAAGAACAAAGGAGAGGCAGCCATGTTGGATCAGACCAGAAACTTATCAAGTCCACCCTTCTATTCACAGAGTGATAGATGAGATGCCTGTAGAAGGCTCAAAACAGAACAATAGCACACTGGCACTTTTATACCCCAGGAAGGAGTATACAGAAGGATCCTGTTGCTAATGCTACACATTATATATAGTCATTGTGGCTACTACGAAAGAATTTTAGAAAAGCCATGCTACTTCAGACCAAGGATCCATCTAGTCCATCATTCTTTTCTCGGTGGTCGACCAGCTGTCCATGGGAAACTCAGAAGCAGGACATTAGTGAAATAGCACCCTTCCACCCATGTTCCACAACAACTGGAGTACATTCGCATACTGACTCTGATACTGGAGTGAACATATAGCCATCAGGACTCATAGCCACTGATAGTCTTGTCCTTTATGACTTTTTCTAATCCACTTTAAATCTATCCAAGTTGGTAGCCATCACCAAGTCATGCAACAGATGTTTCAAGTTCAAAACCAGAAGAAATATCAAATATTTTATTTTTCACTGAATTCTAATGTCTGAGGAGCTGCAGTCCTGATTTTCAGGAACAGTAGCTCATAAATATTCCTTGGCATGCTTCGTTTCCAAGTCTGAACAAGCAACGTATATTTCAAAAGAAACAAATCTTGGCATGGCATGCAGAAATAGTTAATGAGATACATGTAATGAGGTCAATGAAAGGGCCTGAAACTGAGGAAGTAATATGAGACGTGACCAGAATCTATTCCAAACTATTATTGGCAAATATGTATAACTTTCTATGTAACCTGAATGCTGATTCATGTATTCCAAGGTAGGATGCAAGCAGGTGTCAGAAAGACAGATAAATGTGCATTATCTTTCTCTACAATGTAACCTCCTTCAGTGAGGCTTACAAAGCTTTTAATGTACCATTTAAAGTATCTTTGTAAGCCTATCTCAGGATATGGAAGAAACATTTCTACCACAAGCCTGGTGGCCTAGCATCTCAAACTATATATGAAAGGATGGCATGAATCAGTGACACATTTGGGACTAGGGATTGGAATGGAAGATTTTCAGTAGGAATGTTTTTCAAGGATATAAGGTCAGCTCTTAAGAAGTCATGTTAAAGATATTGATCCAGTCTTTGCAGGACTTAGAGTCAAGGCATGAAATATTGATAACAAACAGTAATCAAAGCAACTGTGTAAGGTGGGAAGAGAGAAAAGAGACAAACCACCTATGGTTGGTCTGTGTTTTATATTTATGAACAACGATGACATATAGCTGCATAGTTGTCAATTATCTGAATTCTGATTTGCATGTGCTCTACATTAAAGTTGTCAAGAATCTTTAAAATGTTATAGTTAAATGGAATAACTGAGATTCATAACATTTATTAGCTAGCTGATCTCCAGCTGTCTTTCATTTCAAAGTCCTTTAAATGATGTTTTGTCTTGGAAAGGAACGTTGGCACAGACTGACAAAAGCTTTTCAAGTTTGTAACAAAGTTGTGGCTTTGCTGAATGAAGCCCCTTCTCTCTGACTAACAGCAATTCCTGTAATGCTTTAAGGGGAACTTGCAAATTTCCCAGTCTGTGCATTACATGGAAGTTGCTCATGTTCTCTGTAGCTGCAAGTGCATTTCATTAGAAAAACGAGCTCATTAATGTCAAAAGCCACTCTAAGGTTACAACCCTAAACACTTACCAGGGATTAATTCCCTAGCATGAAATGGGACTTACCGCTGCTGACTGTGGCTTGAGGAGCATCCTTGGGAAAGGCACTCAATCAGCCTCTCCTCCACAGAGTCTACTTTCTCACCACCATTGTTATCAGCTGCTATTACTCCTCCTACTTGTTCTCACCATGGCTACCACTACCAGAGTCAGTGAGCAAGCAGGCAGTTGCATCTGCTCCTCCTACATCCCACTACCACTGTTGAAGCCAGAGACAGAGGCAGGTGAACTTTTCAAATAGCGTTAAATTTTGTAGAAGGTATGGAGTAGCCAAAACCACAACTACAGAAAAATTACATAAATTTACTGTCAACAATGAAGAAGTCAAAATTGTGAAATACTTTGTATACCTTGGCCTTATTGTCCATAGTGACTCCCTATGGTTTCTTTTGTAGATCCATCTGAAGAAGCCAGAGAATAAACATAGGACCTTCTGCATGTGAACCTCAGCTGAGCTATGGTCCCTCTTTGTTGTTGAGACCCTTCAGTTCGAGGATGATTTGTGAGAAAAAGCCATCAAATTAATCTTTGGAGGTTTTCTGTTTTAAATGACCCCTCAAATGATACCAGGGGTTTCAGAAGACAGCATCCCATACACAGGAAGGATTTGTGAGGGATGGGCTACAGGGCTGTGCGGACTACTCCCACTACCTTTCTTCTCCTAACACCTTCATACTGAGGCACCTCTACAAGTACATCATTCCATGCATAGGATCCATTTGCATGCTAACAACATATGAAAGTCTAAACCTAGCCTATGTGGCCCCACAAATGTCCTCCCACATTTCTTCAGTATATGGGGCAGGGTGGGTTGATGTTTGAGTGTGTTTATATGACTGGCCATTGCAAACTTAGGAAAGAAGTTTACACAGGGTAGCATTTGACTAAATGTTTGTGGATCAGCTGTAAAAACCCAGCATTCCAATGCAATCTAAATTAAAGAATTTTGAAAATCTACACAAAAGGCTCTCTGACACTTTTCAGTGCATATTTTTTCAAAGTGCTTCTTTGTTTTGTAGTCCATATCCCTTGAAATCCTTCTCGTAGTGTGTCTGAGTTAAATATAAATATATACATATAATATATATAGGGTAAAATATAGAGTAAAATATAGCAGCATGGCACAGGGGTTTTTTTTGTTTTTGTTTGCCATTTTCTTCCATTTTTATCTTGCAGCTTTCTCAAGTAATTATATTATCCAAGATTTAGCTCGCTCAAGATACTTATCAAAATATCTCTGGTTATCATCTTCTCCTACTCTAACCCATTGCTTTTTATCTTGGTATAAACATTTTCAAGAGATATTTGGCCTCTAACATACCTTCATTTCACTATTTCAGACTAGCAAGCTATGGTTTCCCCAGACATACAGTTATGTCACAATTGCTGGTGGTGAGGGGGAGGGGGGAAGAGAGATAAAGAGAGAGATGACCTAATTATGATTTAAAGGAATACTAACATCTCCAAAGGAAAATTTATGATAAGTTGTTGGTAATATCATAGTAAATAAAAAAATCCAGAGACCAAATATTATCAGAACATTAGCATATTTTCCTTACTACTTTATTTGATCTGTATCACGCTGAAACTGCTAGATGTGTATCACATCTGTGGCACTGAGGACAGCAGAAAAAGCTTTCTTTATTGCCTCCACTGGATCCTGAAGCTGTTTTGTATCTTTTGCAGTTAAATGGTGTTGGATCCCATGAATACTTGCTGTGATAGGCCAAGGCATATGGTGACGGGATATAAAAGTTTTAAATAAATAAATAAATGTATGCAAGACATATT